TGTCAATATTCAAATACGGACATTTGAGAAAATAACACATATCCCTAAACTTAACTCTAACTCTAAACTTAGCGCAAATACAAAACGCAAACACAAAGGCAAACAATAAAGCGAGCGCAAACGCAAAAATAAACGTAAACACAAACATAGACGCAATTAAAATAATAAATTTAGATTTTATTACAAAAATAAACTTTTAAAACAGCAAGTCGATTTTTTTCATTATGTGAATGTCTTCCATATATATATATATATATATATATATATATATATATATATATATATATATATATATATATATATATATATATATATATATATATATATATATATATATTCAGTTCTATTATTATATTCCGTTATAATATTTTTCAGATCAGATGATATTTTTTTGGAGGGGGAAGGGTTGCTAGATTCAACATAAATTCTCATGAGTATGAAAAAATTAACTATTTTAATTATAAACAGAGGTTTATCGAAACTTTATACAAGTTACAAACAAGCATTAGATGCTTATATGACAGTCAAACTTTTGCGATTATGAGTATTAATAGCGACACAAACTCATTAATGGTAGTCAGTGGCGTAGCCAGGAATTGGTCAAGGGACTTAAAAGATTTTTCCATTTAGTTCACCTTATAACGTTTCCCCATCTATGCCTTTTTTATCACTAAAAGCTCATATATTGGCCTATTATGAATTTCACAGTAACACACACAAGAACATTCCACAAATGGGAATTTGTGTTTATCCCTGAGGTTTTATTGTGTACGACTACTATGTCTCTTGTTTTGGTCACATTTCTTCTGGAATTTAAGGCGTCTTCAAGCGTCGTGGTTGGAAATGTTTTCGTCTCGACCAGCACACAGTCGCCATCTTTAACCGTCATGCCCGGGTCCGAACAGCACTTCCGGTTGTGCGCAACGGTGCACGGTCTGGCCTCGTGATCAAATTACAAGTTCTCGCCATTCCCACACGCCGCGTCACACGCCGCGCATGCCCACTCACACCAGCACTGTCCGGGTTTTATGTAATATCCTCCTGCACAGGTTAAGGTTGCGTCCTTTGTCGAGCTGCAACTGGTTTCTATTATTTCATTCTGTAAATTTTAAACATTGAACTTCAACTGCATGAATTGTTTAATTTGGGTTAGATCAATATATTATTAACTAGATAGATGACCCGTTGTGGGAGAAATACAACGGGTTCTAGTTTGACAGTGTTGTCTTTTTCACTAAACCGAAATCAAAATCACAACCTTAACCGGAAACAAAAAATGTCATTGAAAAAATATTTGAATCAAGAAACGGCATTTTAACCGGATTTAACCTTCATCTTCACGTAGTTACTGCACATTCATGCTACGTATAGTCATGGTCAAACCGCTAAACCCTAAGCTCAAACTTGACAAAAGTCGCATTTAGAGTTTCTTTCAGGCATATCTTCAGCGTCTACCACCCCTTATAATGTACTAGAATTTATATAGAAAATATACGTACCGGTGTCCGCCCCCCCCCCCCTCCAAACCCACATCCACCCCAGAAAATTTCAAATCCCCCCCCCCCCCTTCCCTACGTAAAAAAGAAAGTTTGTAAGAAATACTTGTCGCATGTGTAGATAATACAGACTAACTAAACGTAGACCCTCATCTATAATATAGACCCGTTTCCTACTTTTTGCCGATGTACTTCAATCATGGTGATAGTGTTTCTTTCAGACATTTATTTCTTCGGGGGGGGGGGGGGGCACTTGAATTATTTTTTTACGTTTCCACCAACCTAACTCGGTTTAGAACATGGCTGACAAGCAGTTAACGTTATCTCCGCCATCTTGAATGTCATGAATGTTCCAGCCTGACATGGGTGACATCTGTTCCCCGTCTGGTTCCAGAAGTTTCCCTGTCCGCATGACGTCACGATGTCCACTTTGCCCGGCAGGGCATAGGACATAGTCCTGGAGGGGATGTCCTCATCACATTTACTGCTACAGATGCCCAACGTATGGACTTTGGACTGTACTAGTATTACAATAAATACAAACAGATTTGATTGCACCGTCACTTCGTATCGCCTACAATACGTTCCCGTGATTTAGCTGTTCTGTAATGCAAAATGTACCAGTTTTTTGTTTTTTTTTACATCCGCTGATACACTTTCAAAGAATCTGATGTCTATCTACAACTTTAAATAAAACATAGTCTTTATTTATCAACACTTTAAAAACAAACATATTTTCATTTACAGACCAAATAACGGCCGACGCTTTTTAAATCTTTGCAAATAAATATTAGCTTATAATACTTAAAACAGTTATTGTTATTAAAGTGTTGTTATTATACATATTTTAATATTTCTAAATTTTTATATTTTTCATATCATTTACAAAATCGAACGATTGAAAAATTACACATTAAGTATGAACAGAAGCTTGTCGATACTTTTAATACATTTTTAATTAATTGATTTTTAATTAAATCAAACTTATAGTTCTTTAAAATTTC